TTAGGCTATAGGATTTGACTCTGAGTTGGGAAATGAGTTCATACAAAATACTGATATAGTAAATTAAAAATTCATTCATACCTTTTTGTATACTGCAACACTAATGTATGGTCATCACAAAATCCCATGGCACACCTGGGCTTGCCTCACAGCACATCAGTGTGCCACGGCACCCCATTTGGAAACCAGTGTACTAGGTCATTTGACTTTCTCCCTGGATCAAAAACTGTCTTTGTGTTCATTTACCCATTTGTCTCCCTACTCCTTTCCTCCCAGTCTCCATGCAGACAAGGAGAAAAACAGCCATCTAGCACCCCTATTACCCTGTACAATTGATATCTCAACCAATAAACCACATCTAATTGCATTGCTGGGCAACATCTTTTAGCATTTACACTATTTGGCTAAAATAGCTCATTACAATAAAACCAACTAGGGATATAAACACAGACAAAAACAGATCACAAATCCTAACAAACGTACATTACAATAAAGTTCACAGCCTGTAATTTGGTCTATTAACTAGTAAAGAAGAACAGAAACAGCAGTATGATGCTAAAATGCACACAACTTCATCCAAGAGTACTGATTGGAATATGCGCTGTTCACACCAGCTAAAATTAGGAAAGTAAAACATTTCTCACATTTTCACCTCCTGTTAGACTCAAAACATGCATTGCTTTGTTGCTGAGGACATGGGACATGCCAACCATCCTAGCAGCATATTCAGTTAAATGCTAATGTCAACATGCTACTGATATTAATGTGCCGATGTTAAACATGTTTATCTTCTTAGTTTCATGAATTATGCTAACATTTGGTAATTAACATTAAATGAAGTACAGGTGAGGTTGATCAGATTATTGGCTTTGGGTCATAAACCAAAGTATTATTCAAATTTGAACTGATGGTGGTGCTAAATAAAAAAAAAGAGGCGTCACTTGAGTTAGACTCATTTTGTGAAAAACATAATTGCTTGAAGCAATTATTAAAGAATCTCTACCTGTAAACATCTTGTCAAGCACTGCCACTGACAGAGTATCAAATACACAGAGAACAGATTTTTTCAAAGTTTTATTGCAAAAATATAGAATTTGATAACACACTACAAAAACATCAACACAAACATAATACATGACAGTCTCAAAGACAAATCATTAACACATCAATAGTTCAGTACTTTTACTGTGCTTTCAATGAATCACAAAACAGTTATTCAGTTTTTAAAACCTTATGTGTGAGTTATTGATACCATGATTATTGTCTTTGACCAGGGGAAAACCTAATTACCACATGCCTGTGTTTGTATTTTGACACTTTAAGTGAAAGCTGCACACCAAACGTTTTATGACCCAATGAATGTACCAGTTTTCCACTTCCTGAGAAGTTACTTTACAATTCCAAAGTGGGTGGGGTCACTGCTAATTTGCATTAGAACATTTACTTTAAAAAAATCCCAAATATAAGACTTTTTTGATTCTATTATGCGAGCTATAGCTCTTTCACCTCACAGTTGCTTTTGAGAAATAGTTTATTTCCTTGAATATGCTTTGTCAAACAGCACACAACATTATAATATGTGCTGTGCTGTGCTCCACACTGGCTGTTGCTATGACTAAGACGTCAGCTAGAGATGTAAAATCAGTTCAGTTTATGCAAACATCCAGGAACATGTTTGACATACAGTCTCGTAAAATTGACTTTATCTGTAAAGTTGTTTTTTTATCTGACCAACTTTGGAAAAAAGTATATGATCTAAACATCTGAAATGATCAAACAGCTAGTGAAAATTTGTATCACTATTTAAGGAAAATATTAGTACTTAACCCCACCCACTTCTCTTAATTCTGTGGTTTTTAGAAATATCAACATGTGTTTTTCACCACAATAAGGTGTCTTAAAACCATTTGTATGTCAGTGCAACCTTGTATATTTGTATCCCCATGCATTTGTGTATAAAAAGATTTTTTTTCTAGAATATAATATTATGTATCAGGTATTGCTTTTGTACATTTGCTAGAATTCAAACCAACAATTTATACAGTGCTTTTATTGTGAAGCCAATTCACACAGACCCTTATGAGTACGAGTGAAACAACTTGTTATGGAAATGTCTGTGTATATTGATGTGAATAAATGACTGCCCTCTTCTGAAAATCAATTTCAAACAAGAAAGTTGTTGGTCCAGATATTACACCAAGTATGTCATGTAATTTAATCTGACATGACAAAATTGGCTCCTGAATAAACACTTCAGTCCAGTAACAACACGTCAATAAATCCTAAGAAGTCTTTGTTGGTTTGCTGTGCTTTGTTTTTTCCTCCTCAATGAGAATTGCTTCATAAGAGACAGCTAGAATAAAATCATGCCATTGCAAAAGTGCTGAGAATGAATCATGTAAAATATGAAGGTATTTTACACAGTAAAACCTATCAGCTAAACTGTATATTTATTGTTGTTTGCAGTGACAGTAAACCAATACCTGTTTTCACACTGCTGTAGTTAGCAGTGGTATTGCTGAAATGCCACCCTTAGACAAATTATTTGGCTGAAGTTTGCTGACATCAATGGCTAGCGCTATTGACCTCAAAATCATATCATGTGCTCACTGTCCTAAAAGAGTTCTGTTAAACCTTGTGCCTACCTTCTGTAGATGCATTGCTGGCCTTACACAAGGAAACTGTGGCTTACACCAATGATGCATTAGTTTTCCATGTATATAGTTTTGATTTGTTTTTGAAAATTACCAGTCTTGTGCTTAACTGTAAAATATTACACCATGGGAAGCATTGAGATTATGAAGTGATATAATCAGTATCAGAAAACACAGTAATTATAACAATTACCATATTAGTTATTATGTAGTAATTATGACTTAACAGAAACCATGACACTAAAAAAAGTCACCTAAAGTCATGTTTAGGCAAACAAAAGGGTAAAACATTTCTCATAAAGTGCAAATTAAATTAGTTCCAACATACAATACCAGTCAAACATCTGGACACACTTCCTCATTCAATTTGATGGGAAGGTGTGTCCAGACTTTTGATCAGCAGTATACACATTGTGTGACATTCTTTTTATTGCCTGTAGATACTGTTGGCAAAAAGTAAATACAACCTGTAGGAAGTTGGGACACAACTGGGGCTTAGCATTTTGGCAGGGGAGGACATAATGGTGGTCAAAAGATGAGAGGCACTTATAAAAGTGTACTATTCACCAATTGTTCATGCTCCAGTCATACTGTAGGTTTTATGTTGAAACTTAAGCTGAAAAGGTTGGTTGTAAAACATGGAATTTGGATAGGATCAAACCACTGTGAACCTTCAAACGTCTATGGTATTAATGTGACAGCGAAAATTTTGAATTGAAAACACGCTGAGCGGTAAATTAAAAGCGCCCAGCGCAATTACTTGCACTGCGCATGCCCTTTATTGTCTATTATGAAAGGTGCACCATGTTACTGATGCATCCTCCTGTTAAATTAAAGATCTGCATAGCCACAGTAGTCTACATATATATGTTTTACTCCCTCAAAATTGCTTGCATTTATACACAAAAATAAGAACTATTTGAATAAAAAGGACAGGGTAAAAATGGGACTAAAACCACAGATCTAATATTGCAGAAGAGCTACACTTCCCCAGCGTTATATACATCCATCCATCATCTATACCGCTAATTCCTGAATAGGGTCGGGGGGGGCTGGAGCCAATCTCAGCTAACACTGGGTAAGAGGCGGAGTACACCCTGGACAGGTCACCAGTCTATCACAGGACTGACAGAGACAGACAACCGCACACTCACACACTCCTACAGGCAATTTAGAGTCACCAATCAACCTAAGGTGCATGTCTTTGGACTGTGGGAGGATGCTGGAGTAAATGGAGAGAACCCATGCAGGCACAGGGGGGAACATGCAATCTTGACAAAAAGGTTGCGGGTCAGCCCAGCTCGAACTCGGAACCTTCTTGCTGTGAGGCAACTATGCTAATCCCCTAGCATTACAATGACAATATATTATATTAATGTGCAAGCTAGTGCCAAACCTCCACAGTGATAAATGTAGACTAAGGAGACTATGCAGATATTTACCTGTCATGCAAAATTTCGATCTGTTGGAAGATTTTGACTTTTAAAAACACATACCCATGCACAGTGTAATACTAATCATGACCAGTCATATTCATTTATAAAGTGTTCTTTTATGATCTGGATCTACACCAGGTGGAAAAGATTAAGAGCCAACAGTGAGGTGACATTCTCCCACCAATGAGACCTTTTACTTTGACTCTTCTTGATCTTAAGAGTAAGGTATGAGTGTTTAAAAGACAAACATGCTCTCTAAAAAGTGAAATACCTCTTAAAACCTTACATTCTCTCTTTGTGTGCTTTTCTATGCTTTTCATAGTCAGGTGATAACACCTCTTATAAAACTAGCTTTACAATCATTTTCTTTCTACTCTTACAGCACTAGCTGTTTTCTGTGTATAACCAAGAAAAATATTAGCATGTCATCTGCAAAGAGGATATATACTGTATATCTACTGTCAGAACTGCTTTAGGTGAAGACAATGGTGAAAATAGTCAGGTTTTACCAGTAAAGCACTGAGTAGAAATGTGTAATAAATTATACCAAAAAGAATTAAAATATGGGTATGATCATTGACATCATTGTACAATTTTAAATCATCCCATAGCCTACACCAGAAGTTCAATTTCCCTGTCCATACTTCTTCTGCTTTTAGAGACAACTGAGCATTTACTGCTGCCTCACTTAGGGCCACTGAACAAATTCCAAGGTCCTGCAACAAAACTTCAATTGAAACACAATCACCAACAAGATAACATGAATATCTGAGCTTCCTGCATACTCGTTTGGGTCCCCTTAGTTGATGACAGATGTGCTGGTTGTCCCCACCTGACAGC